ACATTCGTGTAAAATAGATTCAGTTTTTAAATACAATAAATACAAAAATGCTAACTTTAATGATGAAATGAATATTAGAATAAAGAAGTGTATATAGGGTCATGGTAGTGAGTGTCAATTTTGATGAATAAATAATGGTCTGATTTGTGAAGTAATGGTACTGTCTGTTGCCTAAAAAGGCGAAATGCTTGCAAGGTTTGTCGTGTCCTGGGCAGACTTGAAGGCTTCAATCAAGGCTTCTTTTGTGTTTATTTAATCTTTTATTATCGTCATGGCATTGAAAGAATGTGCCATCTAAATTTAAAAATATATCTTAATTTCAATCATACGAAGAAAAAAACTCATCCTTTGTTGGTATGCTCTTAATCTGTTTCCCAAATGGTTGCTCTCGTCAAGGGATTATGCTCTTAGTTCCAAGCCACTTTATGAAACTTTTTATTAAACTATTGTATTGAGTAAGTGGATGATGCTTGGCGTGGAAATCATTATTGTTCAGTCCACACTGCTTTTTCTCTCTTGTTAATGCCACTGCCTACCCATTACCCAATCTGTTTTCCATCTCTGAATTAGGGGTTCTTACCTTCATTATTCTGTCAAGACATATTTTATATATAAACTTTACAGTAACATTTTCTCTATTTTTTTAATGAAACTTTACAGAAATCAAATCTAAATTATTTTTGTCCACATTACTCAATCCCGCCATTAGATTCGTCATGCTTAATTTGTCAACCAAGGTTTAATAATTGTAATTTTGTTCTTCATTTTTATCTGAAGTTACACATATAACAAAATATACAAAAGTATAATTAAACGATTTATTTACATAATATGTTAAACCTAGCTCTGCCTGCAATTGGACGGATAAAACAAATTGATTTCATTTGTATTCCTTAATGGAAATTAAATACTGTACATGAGATAGCCTTCTCAATTCTTAATTCATTTGTCTCGTTGCTGTTTGTTAGGAATGTTTACAATATGAATTTGTTTAAGGGCTGATACAGTGACGCCACTGTCGCCACAAAAATATATGTATACTCTTTGTACTTTTACTTCCTCTTTTTTTTCAATACTTTTACACTTACTTTATTTATTTATTAATATTATTATTGTTTTATAAAATCAATATGAATAACTAGTATTTTACAAATTTATCTTTAATAATTAATGTTTGTTTAATATAAGAAAACAAATAAGTAAGATATTAGTCTATAAATAATGAAAATGTACATTGTTTAATTGCGAGATATATGGCAAAATCGTGTCATTAATTTTAAAATATTCATTGATATATCTATGTGCGAAATGAATCAATGAACATTTTTTTTCTTGATAAGCAGTTGCATTAATATAAAATTTCTGCAAATTTGTTTCGGACTTGATTAGAAAATGTGCATACTTACATTTTGTTAAATTGACTATTATATTTTTGTGATTCTAAATATTTAAACCTACATATTAATTAAATCAATCTTGTATATTTTAAATATTTTTAATTAATTAATTTTAATATTTTATCTAATTTTAAAAATATTCATGCAATATATGTAATCATTGTTAATTGTGATATACGTTTAAACTTTTGGTTGAAGAAGTGTCAGATTTTGAAGTGATAGATGCATGCAATTTCATTTATTTGTTTATTTGCAACGATGGGTTAGCCAATCCCTAAATATATACGAAAACAAATAACTAAAAACATAAATAATTCAAAAGCAGGTTACTATGTTTTGGAGGAAGGGAAAAAAAAGCAGGTTGACATGAATGTCGGTGCATTAAATTGATAAACAGTAGTTTATAGTATTTAATATGAACAATTCCATATTTTTAGCAAAAATAAATAAAATCTTTTAACAATGGTTTAAAAGTTGGGTCAGCTGCACTTGAAGTTTCTAATGTTGACAAATCAACTATCAATATCAAATCACTTCTAAGATTATGCGAGAAAAGTGAAAACAATAATTAAACGATAAAAAAAATCCTCGAGAAGCTTTTCATACCAAACGAGTTGAGGAGGAAAGTCAAGATTAAATATTGGTAATTTGATTAAAGTTGCAAGTTGCAACAACTCCTTCTGAGCTGTGAAACAATCATTCAAATTTTGAGTTGGCCTGCTTTGACCTATCGGTAGCGCTTGCAGTAAGCGCTCGGTCTGATCAAGTACTTAATAAAAATTCTAATATTTAAAATTATTAATATATAAATTCCATCATATCATATATTTTTAATAAAAATGTTTTTTAAATACTTAAATTTATCTTAATAAATTAATAAATTAATATTTAATTTATGATATGGATAAAGTTAAGCAAATGATTTTAAGTTGAAAAACATAAAATATTGTATTAAAATTTTCATATTGGATAATATATATTAAATACTTAGTATTTTTAAAGATTCATAGAATAATTAATTAAGGCAAAAACTAATTAATAGAGTATATAATTGGTGATATCGAAGATGCTACGGGGATAGGTTTTTGTTATAATAAAATTATAATCAATGTACAAAATTATTACAATGCATATAACTCCAAAAGATGTATTAACTCCAAACGAACCCGAGTTCACCCAAAGCCGCTAGATATATTATTAATTAATTGTTTCAAGTGATGATCCAAAATATTTGTCATTTTCTAATAGTTGCTTAGATTTGATTTCTTTAAAATAAACCCTCACTTTATAAAAAAGAAAAGCATATATTTGAATGATCATTTGTAAAATTATATTTGAAGGAACTTAATTTTATAAAACTAATTTTACTTAAAAATAAGTTTAAGTTAATTTGTATTGTCTAAACATGTATTGAAATATATTATTGATTTTATCATTAATAATTATGATGTCCTTTATTTTCTATAAATGAACAAAATAATCTCGCACGAAACCAAACTAAATTCAAGTTAGTCGAAACAGTAAAAATTGTGTTAAAATAACTTAACTAAGTTTTATGATCATGTCATGAGAATGAAAAAAAGTAGGGATTCGAAAATTTCTTCTTCTCTATTTCATGCAAATATGTCAAATGTAAACAACTCCATTGATAGATTAAATACCAAATTCCCAATTTGAGATATGCCATGTCTATTAAGAGTTTATTTATTTTTATTCTTTCCCCCCTTTTCTTTCTTCACAATACATTTATTGGTACTTAATATATTTCTTTCTTTTCAAATTTTATTGCATATTGAAATTTGTATGATAACTATGATGGCACACGATCATCTCTAAGGTTCATTTTTTTTATTATTAAAAAAATTGATATGCAAAAGCTTCATTAAATACAGAAAATTGGGTATTGTAATCCATAAACTAGTATAATGCAAACAAAAATCCTACATCACTATCAATTATTTTACCCATTTCGACGGATTAACACACCAATCTAAAAATGAAATATTGACCTTTTGAGCTTCACCAACAAACAAATTTTAGGATCTTACCTAAATAAAATCCAACGAACAAATTAGATCGCACAGTTTGTTTCTGAAAATCCCATTTCAAGATGCCCAGGAGTTCAAATCAAGCCATGTTAAATCACTAATTAACAAAGGTATTTCTAGTTAAGGAATGACTTTACTGAGTTCAAATCAGCAATAAACATTATACCAAATCTAGACTAAAAAATGCATTAGCAAAACAAATACAAGCATAATACTATTTCATAAATACTGAAATTGCATATATGATAACGTGCTGTTTAAGCATGATTCTTTGAGGCTTTGTTTGGAAGAGAGAGTAAAAATGGATTTGGGAGATAAGAAAAAGAATTAAAGATTTTTTTTAGAAAATATAACTTAAAAAACACAATTTATGAGAATTTATGAAATTATTTTCTTACATTTATAAACTTTCAAACAATTGTTACTAACAAAACAATTTCACTATTTTCTTTCCTTTTCTCTCTTAAATTTAATTTTCAAATAAAATTTAAGTTATTTTTTCACGTTTTATACTTGCACTTTCTTTTTTGGAAGTTTAAGTCAAAACCTACAACTTCTCTCTATTATTACTTGTAAAACTGATAAAATTATTTTGTAATTAGCTAGTCATTTTTATGGAAAAATTTATAATTTTAGTCCTTTTGGTAATTTGTTTAAAGAATCTAGTTTCTTAATGTAAATAAATGTTGCATGTAAAAAAGGGGGAGTAGAAAAATGACACTGTTCCAGCAAAGGAAGGGCAAGAATAATTTTCAATGAGATATATGTGATGATTAGAACCCTTTTTCAGTTTCAATGTACAAATAGCAAGAAAAGGGACACTTCGTACGTGTGCCTAATTTAAATCACAAGCAAGGTTGTGTTGTTATTGTCAGCTCGATTCTATAAGAGGCATCCAAGTTGAGGGACAACGAGACTAAATGCTCTATAGTTTCTAGTTGGACTCACATGAGATGTACGCCAACCAAATAGCGGACATGGAGAAAACTATAAAAGAATGCAGCCAGATATTGATGCCTTTGGTGCTAAAGCTAAGCAAGTCACTGCCAAAATGTTGAGCACCTTTCAAACTTCCACAGCCTTTTGCTCGGACTTTCAAAAGAACATAGCGAAAGATATAATTCAATCATATAATTCCGGGAAAAACTGATTTTGGGCCCTGATTTTTCAAGTACTTGTCATAAATGTCATTATAATTAAACTATTGAGTAGGATAAACATATGTAACATATCCAACCAACCTGCACTCGATCCAGGTGCTCTAGAGACCAAACACATTTAGGAAATCAAGGATCTAAAACTATTACTAAGATTCCTCATTCTGTAACATCCATATATACAAGGCTAAGTATATATAGCAAAGAAATCAAAAACAAAAGATTTGTGCTCAATATATATCGACAATCAAACATATGAAAGGAGTTCGAAACAGTTTGAATGAAACAAGAAACCACTAAACCCACAAATATGTGAGGGAGAGAGAACTAATTAGGGTTTTGGCCAATACCAAATCTTTTTTAAGGTACAAATTTACACCGTCCCGTATATAGAGTTGTTATTGCATTTGCATTCCAAAGTATTTACACTCCTCGAATGCAACATCTTGAGGAATTCCTTGTCGGCAACCTTCATAGTCAGAAACCAAAGGAGAGTAAACCAAAGAGCTCATGTCTCCCCAACTAGTGCTTTCTGTTGAAGTCGTATTCGTGCTACCACCATTGCTCATGTCCATGGATTCCATTCCATAATTAAAACCCTCCATTGCTCGATCCATTTGTTGAGGGTTCACATAGACCAGCTCACTCAACTCATTTGTGAAATTTTCAAACCCTTGAAAAATATTTGATGGCTCATAAGTGCCACTCCCACTATTGCTTGCATTACTCCCAACAGCCACATGATTTACCATGTTCATTGTAGTTGGATAAACAGGGTCTTGTGAGGGAATGTCAAAAGCGTTGGTGTATGGATGTTGATGATGAATATCTTGGGAAAATTTAACTCCCCCTAGTTTGTTAACCAGCATGCTCCTGAGGGATGTTTGACTGTTGAGATCATAGTCTTGGATTGAAGCATTAGCCACTGGCATGGGCACGGAAGAATACTCTGTCGGCCAATATGGAGCTTGATTGATAACTGCAGAAGCCACTGTCAAATTCTGGGTTTCTCTTTTCATCTCTTGCTTCTGCAGGTTGCTGACTCGGCGAGCTTGAGCCTGTTGCTCCTTCCTTTGCTTGCCAAGGAGCTTCTTCTTCAGCCTTGTGTTCCAATAGTTCTTTATATCATTATCTGTGCGACCTGGTAATTGTGCTGCTATAATTGACCACCTGCATGTATATATATATATTCAAAGGAATTCTAAGTCATCAATTATTGAAGTCCAGAGTTATATCATAGAGGCCACTTAATTTCAACGATGAACTCAATTTGATTAGCAGATCAACAACGATTTATTTACCTGCTTCCTATACTGACATAGAGGCTGCAGATGATGTTGTCTTCTTCTTCTGAGAAACCCCCATGTTTAATGTTCGGGCGAAGATAATTCAGCCATCTAAGACGGCAACTTTTTCCACATCTCTTAAGGCCTACACCACACACATGCAAAGCAAATGAGTAACACTTTGAAGTAATAGAATTTTGGGTTCTGAACTGAATAATTAAGATAGGGAAGTTAAAAATCCTAGGCAAATATTTGTATTAATTAATTTAATATGTAAGGAAGTTTGATTTGGAATATATATTGATCTGTGTTGATTAATGAATCCATGGAGCGTACCTATCTTCTGGGGCAGGGCTATCCAATTGCCACCAGTACCATGCTGCTCGATATAAGACTTGAGTTTGGCATCTTCTTCAGGTGACCATGGACCTTTCTTGACGTTGGCTTTGTCACAGCAAGGAGCCCTTCCCATGTCTGTTATGCTTCTCAGTGTGTCAGTTGGTCTGAGTTTCAAGTAAAGCCAATCTTTATTATGAGTTGATGATAATGATAATAATGGTGTTTATATATAAAGGGGAGGGGAGGGGAGGGGGAGAGAGAGAAATAGCCTTGAAGAAGGGAGGGGGAACTTTGGAAGGTTTCAAAAAGGTGAAGGAAAGAAAAAGATATTGCTTCATGCCTAAAATAATAGATGAATTGGAAATTCTAGGGAAGTAGACCAATGTTTATCTTATTGTCTTTAGTCTATAATTTATTTAATATGAGATAAACTTTATTTGTATAACTTTATTTTTAAGATTAAGAGATAGAAAAGAAAAAAATTATAAAAATATGTAATATAAATATATTTTTTTCCTGTATCCCTTCACCTGTCCTCCTTGGCAATCTCTCTCTTATATTATTTTTATGAAATAACGGGGATATGAATTATTGTTGTGGATGGGTAGATGGTGATCATAAACCTTATGCATGGAGAAAGTAGTGGGACCAGAGGTGGAAGGTTAAAGTAATCAAACCTCATTTCGTTGAATGGTTCTTTGATTACATAATGCCTAGATGAGTGACTCTTCGATTACGCATGAGAAAAAACCAGGACGTGTCATGTGCCTGTCCAATGGAACCTCGCTCGCCAAAAAGCAGAAACAGTTCAACAACCGAGCTATTCTTGATGAAATTATTGGGACGATGAGGCTTCTATAATATGGAACTTTTTATAACTTTTAACAGAGTTATTTTTAATAAAATAGTCAAGTATTCTGGTTATTTAAATCATTGGTAATGCTTATACATCAAAAAATAATACACTATCTTCACGTTTCTCTATATTACTTTTAAAGTAAAGAAAATGCGTTGAATTTGTATTTTTCTTATTTTTCAAAAAATAATTAAGAAATTATTATATAGAAATAACATTGTGCTAACTTGCTTGGTTACTTATCGGTATACAATGTAAGTAATATACCACGAGGTTTTGGACAAATACTCCCAATGATTAAAGGAGAACTTCATGTAAATTAGGGTTAATTAATTTGGACGCCTTCTACTTGTCTCACACACCTATATATTAGAAAGTATTTTTTTTAAATCATAAATATCTTTTATAAGAGACAGTATTACTTAAAATAAAATAAAATAAAATTATAAGTGGTAAATTTTTTAAATATTTAAAATAATTGTATACTTAAATTTCAAACTCTTATTTAATCATTTGATTAAAATAAAGTGGCCTTGTACCAATTGATCTAGGTAATGGTAATTGATGGTGCGAAAAAAGAAGTGTAACAGGAAAACTTCCTAAAAGTTTAGTTTAAACACACTTAGTTACGAAATTTTAATGAGGTCTTATACGCTAAGGTTGGATAACTAATAAATAATAAAGTATAAATGTTTTAAAATTTAAATGATATTCAATAATTTTATGGAATTAAAAATTAAAAAAAAATAAAGAGAAAGTGGAAATCGCGAAGAAATGACAGAAGCAAGAAAAGGCTGTGAAATTGCATTAACATTATGATGATAGATATTGCTGGGAAATTAATTAATATATTATGCAGCCGTGCATGATTTTCCATATGGTAGGTAATCAGCTATTAATTAGTTATTACTACGTGGTTTGGATTTTGGCAGCACTCTCCAATCCAAAACATAGTGTGGGATTTGGCTTATGAAAGGGAGAATAGATCCAAGTGAGAAAATAATAATTGTTGAAGATTTGAATTACTTTTAAATATAATTAGTAACTACTGCTTTTCTTTCAATTTTTTAAAATATAAATAACCTTTTCTTTTTCATTTGCTCTTCTTTTCACTTTTTGAAATTTTTTCTTCTCATTTTCAATCAATCTAATTATACAAAGAGAAAAAGGTCATGTGTAATTCATTAAAAATATTTAAAAAATAGATAAAAAGAAAAACTATTTAAATGATAAATTTATTTGTTTATTAATTTGTTTTTTCAATAAACATCAGTTTTATTTTCATTTAAATAATATATATGTGTGTGTGTGTAAGTAAAGAAAGATTATCTTAACAAAATAATAAAACATGCCACTAAGATGTTATTTTTTGCAGTCATTATCTATAAAAGAGGACATGGCAACATTACAGAATTACTTTCCTAACATGACAGTCAACAAGTAGGATTCCCACTATCACATCTATTACGTCACGAATTACACCAGTGGGGCGTATATAATTTCCTCCTAATTGTTTACATTAACGAGTATTTTTTTTATATGAATATTAACCAGTATTATATAGGTTATAGGAAATTTTTTAATTTAATTAATTTTTCAAGTTATAAGATATTAAAAAATATTTATTCATTGAAAATAATAAAAAATAATCACATTTTTTTAAAATATAAAAAAATTTACTTTTTAAATAAATATAATATGATAAAGAGAGAACGATAACTTTTATATTGCCAAGCATAAATTAACATGAAATCGCAGTAGTTTATAAAATATTAACCTTTTATATTGCAATAACTTATATAGGTCAGAATAATCGTTTCGAACCATGGAAAATAGCTAATAATTGCGCCAAGTTCCTACTATTTTATTTATTCTTTGAAGTTATAATAAAATTTTACTGTCAGGAGTCTGAGTACAAGATCGCCAGATCTTATATAGGTCATTCATTATAATTTGTCTCTTACCTTAGCATAAGCTCTTGATGACTCTGGACAACTCTACATGAAGTTGTGTGATTTTAGAGTTTTGTTCACTTGGATGGTCACATCATTACAACTCTAAACTCGTTTTGATCTATCTTACTCAATTGAAAATGTTAATGAATGTTTTAAAATATTAATTAAATACATAAAAACACTTTAAATTTATCATATTAAAATATATAAAATTCCATCTTTACTGCATCTTATTAGGTTGCTATTAATGTGTTAATAGGCTTCACAAAAATACAAAATGATAGAGCTTGCCCCATTCTGTGAGGAATTTTTGTTTAAATATAAAAACCTAATCGTGCCAACAGAAAGAAATAATGGAAATTTTATGTATTAATAATAATTAAAAAAAAAAAAAAAGCAGAAAGATTGTTTCGATTGAGAGGACCACAGAGAAGGCATGCAGAGACTATATGCTGGATTTGGCTGGGTACAGTTTACACGTTATCTTTCCAAGTCTCTTAACTTTTAGAGGATAACTATTAGTAACTCCTTCAATTCTTAAATAGATGTTGTTTTAAAGTGTTATATAAATATAAAAAAAATCTTAACTTAAAAAAAGGACTGAATTAGCATTTTTTTAGTACATCTATTCATATTTTATCTTTCAAAAAGGATTAATCATTGGGTATTAATTTCAAAAAGGGAAAGTTAAAAAATAGATATTTATTTTTAGGCATTGTCAAATGACAAATAATTTTAAAAGTAAACTCATAACATGGAAAAGGAAGAAAGTCAAACAAAGCATTTATAAACGAAAAGCGGTTGAATTTTCATGGTATTTGTTACGACCTCTCATGTGCTTAGAAAGTAAACAAAGGTTGTGGAAGAAACAAAAGTACACAACTTTTCAACCAGGGAAGGAAACAGTCTTTGTGGTATGCCACCGTCTATTCTCAGTTCTCACTCTTTTTCCGAAAATGAATTAACCATGGTTAACTATCCTTTTCAACAAGGAGAAAAAATAGAAAGAAAAAGTTGAGGGTTTTCTTTCCATGTTCTGTGTGCGTAATCGTAGAGACCTAGTTTCATGTTTCAGTGAACCTTTTTGACAGGGTCCTATCCCTTTTGAACCAAGACAGATCAAGGGATCTTCCTTGACTAGGTTCTTTCGTGCTTTCGAATAGCAATAACCAAGGAATAATATATTAGCGTTAACAATTTGAGTTGTTCTGAAAAAATTTAAGGTTGAAAGTGTTGTCCAATAATTATAAAGTGTACAAGTGAATAGTGTGTAAAGAATCTACGTGAAACCAATGTGACTTGAAATTAGAATGGTAAACACCTTCCCTCGTGCATATATTGTATAACATGATGAGTAAAATCAGATGTTGCCTTTTTTTTTTCATGAATCATATATATCTTAATAAATACAGAAATATGTGATATACAGTGACATATAATGGCTAAGATTACAATTATATGGACACTCAATCTCTGTGAGTCATTAATTATGTCATTTCCTTGTATTGTATATGATGTTTAGCCAGTTAATTTTCAACTTAACCTAGGCCACATTTGTCTTTAACTGAGTTTCTAGAACATCTGCTATATGCATATTGGTGAAGGCTTGGTGGAGGTTGTTTGTGTGACCAGATCTTGAAAGAGAATTAGTGTAAAACGTTGGTAGACTAAAACACTCTTAATTTTAACAATTCAACCATCACAGTAGCTCAAACACTTAGTCAACAATAAGACCAAGTGTGAAGCTGAAAAATCCAAATGTATGGAAGGACCTAGTTTTGAGGGTAAGTAAGAGTGAGACCCAGTGAAGATTAGTGACGACCCGAGAAGGTTCTATCAAGAACGAACATTTCTAATGAATTGTATACTTCTAAAGCTTTGAAGTTTTAGGTTTAAATGAAATAGTACACATGGTAATATTGTTAAGTGTTCCTCTGTTTTCAAGTAAATATTGTTGACCCAAAAAAAAAGTAACTTGAGGACATTGGTTTCCTTTTATGAAATGTCACGGATGAGCAATAATAGAAGAGATTTACTGTGTGCATTAGTTTGTATAATTTTTTTGTTCAATAAATAAAGAAATAGGAAGAAAAGAAATTGTGAATATGATAAAGAAAGATAAGGACAAAAAACAATAATATAAAAAACATTATATGACTAATATGTTTTTTTTTTTATCATTTGGGTTGGAGTTATGTAAGCATGACAACAGCTGATTGCAGCAATCCGAGAGGTAACTGTTGGGAAGGGCCATTGCTTCAATTGACTGCTAAAATCCATTTTAAGAAGAAAGGCAGTGATGAATCTCTTGTGTCCTATAAAGATCCATTTCTTTTCCACTAGAAAAAGGTTGTTACGAGTCAGCTACGCGGTTTCTTCTTCTGGATGCATGCTTTTGTGAAGTTAGAAATTTTTAAAATGAAAATGGAGGAGCAGAGGTCAAAAAGACAAGGGCATATGAGACAAAGCTTCGGATATCAGATTTACACATGAAAAAGATTGTTTTGTGAGTCAATGAAAATTCTATCCACATTGTTAGTGTCATAGTCTGCAGGTTGAGACGTCTCTTTAGGATATATAGATGGTAAACTGATGCTCGATTGAACCAAAAAATATTAGTGGTTGATTAACGATTTTGTTTCCCTACGAAATTAAGAAGCATAAAGTAAGGAGTTAGATCAAATATTTCATTTTTATGTCTTTGAACAACGTTTTGAGTATTGCAAATACTCTATAATAATGCTAATTGGATTAGCTCCCTTAATTTACTGATGACATTTTAAGTATGAATTTAAAAACGTTATGCAAATATATCTTACATAAATCTTGTTCTATCTACATCTCCGCCTTAATATTGTTGTTCCATTAATTATTATTTTTTATCGATCATGGCTATTTTCATTAACTCTTTTAATTATTTTTACTACGTTCTATTTTAATGTGAATGATTGTCGTTATTTTTAGATGTTTTTCATCAATAAAACATTGCAAAATAATGTTTCAAGGGGACTGCCCGGCCAAATTCATGAAGCTTCTTTTCTTTTGTTCTCTTGGGCCGTAGTCTTTTAATGTTTATATATATATATATATAAACATGACAAGATAATAAGAAAAAACTAAAGAGAAAAATTGTGCCAAAAAATAAATAAGAAGGAAATGGAAGAAATGAAAATTTATATTTCACTTTATTTAGGGGATTAATTAAGAACGAAACAAGAATTTTCAGAACCTTTAATTTCTCAAATAATTTTGCAATTTATTAAAAAAAAAAACCAAAATACTTAATTTGTTCTGTTAATACTGTCATATGTGTATTAACAAATTAATGTTCAATTGACAAATAAAAAAATGTAAAACTTCACTTGAAATTTTAAAATAACCAGAATATAATTTTTTTCATGTATCGCTTAATTGTCAAGAATAAGTTCCATTTCTATATAAAAAAGAAAGTGCATGATAACCTATAAATCCACAGCCACAAGAATAAATAATATAAACCAGCCATAAAATATTCTAAGTCCCCTTATTTCTGATTTATGTGCAAAAATAGCTTGATCACGTCTTTAAGGTATTGTTTGAAAATAAAGGTTTCAAAAGAGAGAAGAGAGAAGAGGAAAGGATATTTTTTTAATTTTAAATAAACATATTTAAAATTATTTTTTTAAATATAAATATAAATTATATATTAATTTATATTTAATATATTCCTCATAAATAATATACAATTTTTTTAATTTAAAATTAGTGCGTTCCTCAAAAACTCTCCCCCTGTACCCTAAAACTACTGTAAAGTAAGTAGCCTAGCACAAGATAGGGATGGCACCGCACAAGGGTTCCCGTCCTTGCCCTTGATTATTGATCCTTGTTACAGGATTTCCAGAATTCTTCTACTCATTTATTTGTAGCTTTTTGCTCAAAGGTGAGCAATTACTCCATAATTATCATTGGTGACTTCCCCAAGTGGAAAGAAAATGAGGCAGTGTTAGCATTGAGCTTCCCATGTTTGACATGTAACTTATACCTTTGGTTTAGTATAAAAGAACTAGGGAGGGGTGAATCACAGGCAGCATCGACATAGCTTCTTACAACATAGACACGACAACCAAATGCTAGCTACCATAACAACATGGCCTTCAGCAAAACAATTAAAAAGGACTCACTTTTTTAACCATTAAAAGCAGACTACGAATTGCAATTTGGACGATCGGTTTTGAACTATATACATTTTAAGTCCAAATAAGCCAAACCATCAGTCTAGCACTATAGCACCAAAATCAAAAGCCAGAAAGCACATAAACAAAAGGGGTTAACGGAACAAAAAAAGAAAAAAAAAATAGTGAGCATGGTTGATGACCACCAGCTCACCATTGAATTGCACCCCCGGAGGGAGATAAACTCAGGAGATCTGCGATGATGATGCGATGCAAGACCGTCTGTCTCACCATTTCCACCAGTTACTTATGATCACAACGTTCTGCAGTTCTTCCAGTGAAGCGTCCACTCCCTGCCTCACCATCAATATATCAGTACGTCACCCTTTGCTGGTAAGAGCTAACCTGCCATGATCCCTAAATCAACCTCTCATCTGCTCCTTAGATTGTGTAAATTCATCATAAGACTTCCACGTTGTAATGGTGTAGTACTTTGCTGTTTGTTATAATTCGAGTAAAATTTGAAAATTTTTTGGTCGAGTGAAATTTGAAAATAAGAGGACAAACCGGTCATGTCAGAACTCTACAATGCATGGTTTATTTTGTTAATACCTTATGATTCGAATGTATGATGGTCGGATTCTAGCACGAAATATACCGGTACCAATGCCTAACTGTTAAAATAGCGTTACCTTACGTTGGGCTTGTAACGAAGGGGAATTGAACCTTTTCTTAGTGTAAGATCCATTTCAGAGATTAGCTTCCTAACAAGGATTTGAATTAACCAGGAGACCTTTGGGTAATTCCATCTGGGTAACCAAGCTTTTGCAACCTAGTAAAAAGTGAAAATGCTTGCACATCAACCCTGTGTTTAGTATCCCAACTATTCTGCCTAGGACACGTATGCCATGGCCCTTTTTCTATCTCCTTCCACCCAAAAAAAAATTGTTTAAAACGAAAAAGGGTACACAATCACTGGCTCAATGCATCTAGAATTCTATTTTTCAACAAATCCACTGACAACGACTTCTACCGCTGGGAAGAAAAAAAACAAATGTAGAAATGTTTTTAATGTGCTTGCGTTAGTCATTCACTAGCAGCTACACACACAAGAGTACTATCTACAGCAGCTCATCATATATGAAAAAAAGAAAATTCAAAAACAGCTTCTAGAGCTTGGAGATTCTAAGAAATTCCAGCAAATGATGCACTGCAAGCTTTTCTTTGTGTGCTTATCTCAGCTCAACAGTCCAATTCATTTCATCATCCGTAAGACCCATCTGTAATCTGGTAAGGACAGTATAAAGTTGCTGTGAAACCACTCCAATACCGTCTCCATATGATACCCTGCAGAAATTTCAGATAAAAATTGTCAACCATTGATTCAAAATGGCTCTGCCAATGATTAGCATCTGAAGAGTTTCAGGAAAAATTCAGTTGGAACGTACCTCTTGCTAAGGTAAGTAATGCTGCCAACAGGTGATACAACCACAGCTGTTCCCGTGCAGAAGACCTCATCAGCATCAAGCAATTCATCCACAGACACTAATCGCTCCTCTACCTGCACATACAAGATGAACCAGGGAAAATGAAAAATAAATTTCTGTACTTTAGTCCAAGTTAAGCTTAAAGAAGATATTATACTACAAGTTTCCAGTTTTAAATACTTGAAATCGATTATACAAAATGATGAAAAAATTAATAAAGATGTTAGTCACAAAATACAAATTGGATGGTTAAAATAGAAAAAGGTATTAAGTGTTATTTGTGACTGTAAAACACCTATCAAGCTGAAAGAAAAGTTTTACCATACTGTAATAAGACCAGCTATCCTATATGATAGTGAATACTGGGCTTTAAAGAAAAAATATGAAAAAAAAAACAAAGAGTAGCATAAATGATAATGCTAAAGTGGATGGGTGGACACACAAAAAAAGACATAATACAAAATAATAGTATATGGAAGAATATTGGAATAGCACCTATAGTAAAAAAAATAACTGAAAAACGTCTTAAGGTGGTTTGGTCGTATGAAGATAAGACCTTTAGAGGTGCCATTGAAGAGAGTGAATTGCATGACTTTTAGTCTGATAAATAAGGGTCAAGGGAGACTCAGAAGAACTTTAGACAATGTTATCAAAAGAGACCTTTTAATTAACCAGATTTCTGAAAATTTAATTTTTGACCGAGTTCAAGAGTGTTGTATGATCCATATAGCCGACCTTATCTAGTCAGATATGGCTTGGTTGTTGCTAGTCTAATGCCAATAAAACCAAGAAGCAAAGAGTATAATAGTCTAAATACAAAAATGTAAACCGCTATCCTACTAAGCCCTTTTTGGGATATATTGAGCAACACTTGGCAAGAATCAATAATTAAGAAACAAAGAAATAGAGAATTATAGATAAGTCTCACAAGACATTGAGGTGGTCAATACCTAAATAAAGGACATTCTAGAATCACTCTAGAAATGTTAAGACTTAGGAAGCTTGACAAGGTACTTTATATGACAATTATTCATCTTATACATGATATTTGCAAAGATTTAAATTATTAATAGAGATCAAGCCAATCAAATTAATATTCTCATCAGGGAATTGAGCAGAAAAAGGGCAAGAACACATGAAGATTAAGATTCATCATTATAATTTTTTTAGGGCAAGTATACCTCATTGCCTCATTGGAATCTTCCTAAGGTGTGCAAATATTGTATCAAGGACTAGAGCAAAACTCAGACAAGTTTTAATTAACAAGTGGGTCTGGATTTGCCAACCACACTTGCCATTACTGTCTAAAATAAAGCTCATACCGATGATTACATTTTTACAAATTTAATTTCGAAAGCATAGCATGGTATAAAACATCACAATTATAAGATATCAAACAGATAATATTCATCTCCTTAATGAAAAATCTAATACCTGGAACCCTTGGCTTCGAGCAACATCAATTATACTTTTGCGAGTAATACCAGGTAGGATAGTCCCTTTAATATCTGGAGTTGAAATAATGTTACCCTGAAAGAAAATGGGAATGATAGAAGCACAATGTAGTGAGTTCTAATATAATAAATAGTGTTTGAAACAAATAAATATAAACTTTAACATGGGGGTAATACACACAATGGCACCAATGAAGTTTTCACCAGAATACAGGCCAAAGAAAATGTGACAAGACAAGATTGAAAGACTTCATTATCATCTGGACAAAAATTATATGAAAATATTTATTCATATTAGTGTAGAAGAGCCAGAGATTATTCACCAGGCTGGTGGTGAGTTATGTATGTAGGATTCTGTGACAATTTACACCAAATAATACTCTTGGCTTTCTAGCAAACATGATTGACGCAAATTGAATTGCAATTCTTGTTTCAGGAAGGCAATAAGCAAAAAGACACGTTGTAGACGAGAGAATTTCAGTTGTGAAAGCTTGCAATTTACAAAGGCACCAACTAGTTGAGGTGAGCAACACAGACCAAGTGGCTACCATTAATGACACTGCTTTAGCAAATATAGCCATAAGTGCACCAAAAATCAGGTGACGGGACTCATTCAAGAAATTGAAAGAAAATTTGCAGATGTACTAAATGCATGATGATTCCGATTGCTACAAGATATGATTTTACTATGTAAGCACATATATAAACACATAAATTGTTTATGTATTCTGACAGAAAAAGAGAAGGTTGCAACTATTAAATAATACTCCCCTGTTCCTTTTTATAAACAAAATGAAATATTTTTTTGATCCTTATTATAAGAAACAAATGATAGATTTAAGATACATTAATTGTTAAATTTCTTTTATATTTTTTTATTAGTATTATTAAATATACAAATTACTAACTACATCATTTAATATTATGAGTATTTTTAAAATAAAATTTATATTTATAGAAAACATAATATACTTAATTACTTTCCTTTGTCATAGTGATTTAGTCTTTTGCTTTTTATAAAAAGGACTGGAGGGAGTAGCATGCATGCAAATGTAACTACTTTGCATATTAACAGACAAAATAAAACATAATCTTGAATTCAAACTGGTTCTTAGTGTATAATACCTTAACCACAAAAATATTGCAGGAAGAAACCTCCTCCAAATATCTTTTGTGCACACAGTCAAGGTATAAAACATCTGAGTAGCCTTTAGCTTTTGCTGCAGACTGTGCCTTCAGAACCTATGAAGAATAATTGCACAAGATCACAGAGAAAGAAAATTAGTAATTTTTTTAGAAAAAGAAGAAAAGTAAAAAAGACAAAGTATGCCAGTGGAAAGAAATGAGAATCAAGAAACCAAACAGATAATGCAAGTCAACACAGCGAAACTGCAGTTATAAAGGTCAATTCTGTCAACAAAACTGTAAGGAAGAAATTAGAAATCTGAAGGCAGCATAAGAAAATCGTAAGTTTGAAATAGATGAAGAATTATATTTAAGGCAAGTAGAGAGCACATGTGCAAACAATGTGAGTGGAACAAACAAGAAAGGAGAAGGGACATAGTCTGGCTTACTGCAGCATAGTTTCCAATGGTCTTCACACCTCCAGTGCCACCAGGAGTTGCACGATGCAAATCATTTTCGACAATCAAATTGATTGGGGCCAAACCTTCCTGTGATGATATTGATACTTCATGAATTTTTTAAGGGTCAAGAGGATATTTAAAATTGCAACAATAAAAGATACAGAGAGAAACAAGTACAGTGTCATGTTGGAAATAATAATAATAATAATAATAATAATTATTATTATTATTATTATTATTATGATACCAGGAGACCAGTAAAAGTTGTAGAAGTCGAAAAGAAAGCATGCAACACAAGACAATTTCATTCAGGCCTTGCTAATAAATCCTATAAAGAAGAAAGAGTTAACAATCTGGACCCCAAGAACACTACTATAAGTTTTCTTCATCTTTTCAAACTGCCAATTCAATCTAGTCAGTTACATCAACATCTAATAAACTTAAATTTCTATTAAGCAAGTCCCTGACTCTAACCTATATTCAAGTAAATTTTTCAAAATCTGACCTATGGGATTTGTATCATAATTTGGAGTTATTTACATCTGAAAGACGATAATGAAAATAAACAGAAGTAAAGATGCTGCATTTCAATCTAACAATACAGATGATACCTTACCTTGAAGTAGTTCCCAACAGGTGAAACATATATTAGAAAGGTGTACTCCGGAGCAGGTGCAAGACCAAGTACAGGTCCACTTCCCATTAGCAATGGTCTAATATACAGGGAACCTTTGCCAGGAGGGGGAACCTGAAACGAACGTTTGCCTAATCAATCTGATGTGCATAACAAATTACAATCTATAAAATGTTATGACAACGACATGGTTCTATATTACCCAACGTTTGTTTGCTAATACAGTATCCTTTACAGCTTCCACAAACTGCTCAACAGTAGGCGACGGCATGCACATTCGCTCCGCCCCTGTCTTCATCCGCAAAGCATTATCTTCCGGACGGAAGAGGAGTATATTCCCATCTTCTTTCCGGTACGCTTTCAAACCCTCAAACAATCCCTACATTTGCGAGCCAGAGAAACACATTCTTCATAAAACAAATACACCAAGAAAATTCAATTCAAACCATCAAGTGTAAAGGATACCAATACTAGTTATTAGATTTCAACTCTAGATCATAAAAGATTGCACTAAAACACAATCTCCTCACACAAATCCAAAATCAAACACATATTAAGGTCAAAAGCAAATATTCCAAGCGATGATATGTGCTAACCTGGCCGTAATTCAAAACTCCAGCGGAGGGACTCAATTCAATGTTCCCAAAACGCTTTAATTCACCTTTGGAGAAGGTTCCACCACGCGGACATTTCATGATATACATATAATCAGTAGGTTGAAGGCCAAATCCAAGATTATCCCATTCTATGTCAGCTAATTCAACCGTTTCACTGCACCATTCCGCGTCATTATTAGAAACAACAACAATATTAAAAAAGAAGAAGAAGAAGGACGAACCTGTAGGCATTGGATAGCGTCGCAGAAGGCCTAAGAGGAGAAGCGGCTTCCAGAACATTCTGCTTAGTTAGAGGAAACTGCTTTTGCAGCTGCAATCGGAAAATCAATTAGGCAAGAAGAAAGTAATGAATTAGCGAAAGAGGAGAGGAAAAGGGGGAAAACCTTGAAAGAGAGAGAAGGTCTGAATAGAGAGAGAGGGGAAGAATGTCGAGAGGGGCAGATCTGGCAACTTAGTCGGATGTTTGCTGTGACGGCGCTGCTCTCCATTTTCTTCGGTCTGCAATAACAAACGGTTCAACGACGGGGAGAGGAGAGTGTACGGTGCACGTGGGTTTCGTGATTCTGAAATCTTAATCAATATCTCCCTCTTTTGTAATAACGCAAATGAATCAACGGATGTTCAATATGTTTGACTTTTATCATTCTGTGGGATCGCAATCGTCTACATCTACAGGATTATAAAACGGTACGTGATTTACTTTCATCCATCCAAAATCATCTTTTAGAATTGAAAAATATTTTGAATTTGAGCGAGAAAGATGATCCGTCCAAATAGATAGCGCATTGCGTGTAGTTTGTGTTGGGGTGCAGGAGATTTCTCCAATATTTCATTTTATAAGGGGAGCTGGCAGTCAAAGCGAGGATCGTCGATTCTTGGTGTCATGTAGTCTGCTAAGTTTTAAACTAGGGCGGCTACCATATATGGTTAATATAATGCTTTGCATCATCTGTGGTTATTTTATTTTTTTTATTATTATTAAATTTCCAAAAAAAAATAACCCTAGATTGATATTTTAGGACACTAAATTGGTAAAGCATCCATTTTTAAAAACGACTATAAAAAAAGGGATTTTATTGAAATAAGAAATAGACAATCCATTGTTTTTAACTTTTTATCGTTTGTAAATTTTGTTTGTTTGATAAAATTTATTAATTACCACCAAAATTATTCATTTTTTAATTACATAATCTGTCCTTACATAATACTAACATGTTTTTAAGATTGAATTAATTTTTTAATTTTTTATTAACAAACAATATACATTATTCTTAATGCTTTAAAACAAATTATTTTATTCAAATTAATTACCATTTTATAATTTTAAATGTTTTTCCTTGTTGTTTTCTAATTTTTAAGAATAATTTGTTTAAAAATAAAAAATGTAACGATCAAATTTTTTTATTTATTAAATAAGTAAATATTTCATAAAAACAAATTCTCTTTTATAATTAATCCATATAATTTTCTTTTTATCAATTTTAGTCTTAATTTTTTTTAAATACTCTATGCTATTAATTAAGAGTTACATAATAACTAGATAAATAATTCTTCATATATTTGTTACGTTAAATAATAGTTTAAGCCATGATAAAGTTTAAATAAGTAATTAATTTCTAAAAATACACATTTTATAAGTAGTCATATTCAATTTTAGCTTTAGTCATGTAAAATTTTAAATTTTTAAAATAAATTCTACTATTATTTTTTAAGTCAGCTTTCTTGATTTAACCAACATTTTACGCCTCATTGTTTTAAAAAAAAAATATTCATTGAGATAGTATTATTTGAGAATAAAATATTAGAAAGAATTTTTAAAATTGTCAAATGAAGTTGTATTATACGGGGAAAGAAGATTTATTATTGTATTTTTTTAAGTTATATTTTATCAACTAATGAAACATAAAAGTTAATTGTTCATTATCTAACTTTAAAGATTAAACCTTTATTTTAATCTTTGAAAAAGTTTGGATCTAACATTTTAGTCCCTGAAAAATTTAAAATATTACACTAGTTACCAATTTCTTTCTCTGTCATTTATTTTAGTCCCTAAATTCAGACTCTGTTAAGAAACTATAACAGAGAATTCTCACGTTAAGTGTCATGTCAAATGTTTAGGTGACAAGAAACAACATCATTTTGAAAATAAACGTGGCAAAACACCTTTAATTATCAAAAAAATGACGTCGTTCTGTAAACATAAATTTGAGTGATATTTTGGATGAGATTATGGCCCATTCACTTAGGGTTCTTCACAAATATAATCTTAGATTTCAAATCATTCTACTTCTTAATGCGGAAGGAGAAACGCTCATTCATATCGTTGTTAGGTATGAACACTACAACATCACAAGGTTACTAATTGAACATGTCAATCCTTTTCTTCCTGACATTGAGCATGGGATAGAAGCAGACAAGAACTATATTAAAGCCAAAAATTGCGATGGAAACACTACATTACATGAAACAGTGAGTAATCATCATATTAAAGTAGTCAACTTTTTGCTACAAATGGATCTCTTTTCTCCTACTCTACTAATAAGTCCCCAATATTAGACTGATGTTGCATTTTGTCAGAACAATTGGTGATTCCTTGTACTTTTGAAGTGATGGCACTGTTAGAGTTTTTTGATAGATTGAATTAGCGTCTCTGAAATTATTGTACTTGAGTGGCAATAACATTTTTCCTCCTTTGCCAGAGTTTAAGAATGACTTGAAATATGTTGTTGTGGTAAACACTTTCTTCAATGGTCGCTCTGAAGTTCCTTTCTCAGAGGGCAACAACTCTTCAACCAAAGTCATGCAAAACGACGTCGTTTTTAACAATTAAAGTGTTTGCTGCGTTCCTTTTTCAAACGACGTCATTTCTTGCCACTTAGACATATGATATAATACTTAACGTGACAAGTCAACTCTTTATTACAATTTTTTAACAGAGTCTGAGTCTAAGGACTAAAATAAATGATGGAGAAGGAAGTTGAGGACTAACATGATATTTTAAATTTTTCAAGAACTAAAATGTTGAACTCAAACTCTCTCAATAACTAAAATAAGGGTTTAGTCAACTTTAAAACATTGAATGTTGGTAAATTCTAAATAATAAAATATTTTAATATTTAATGTAATTATAAAAAAAAATATCTTCTTTAAAGTTTTATAAGATTAAAACAAAAAAAATTAATAGAGAATAATTTTAAAAAGATATATTTTTAAGACTAACTACTCATAAATATTATATATAAAATTAACATTATTATATGACAAATATTTTAGTCATTATTTAACAACTCTTAATTAATGGTAGGAATATTCTTAAAAAAATTAAAAAATTCAAGGCTAACTGGATAAAAAAAAAATTAGGAACTAATTTTAAGAGAGAGTATAAATTTAGGGACGGAGTGTGTAATTCGCTATCTAATAGTGCCATGAAGCTTGTCCATTGTTTCCTTTGCATATTTCTAACTTCATTTGCAACAACACTAGATGTACAAGATATGTCTATAATTTGAGAATTTGATTCTTGAATTCTGTTCCCCTGAAGATCGAGTTTGTCTACCCCAATTGTAGCATTACGCAAATGATCTATTCATTCATGACTTGGGGAACACTACTAGCATCAACCTTATGTACCTCGCTACACGAGAATCTTCAGTATTCTCTAGTATTTGATTCGAAAATATCTTCCTTATCAAAATTTGTTTTTATGTACTCCAACTCTCTTTGAAGGGGATCTAATTGCTGACCTCTCTCTGTTGACCAATGGTTGAGATTGTAGCAAAATAACACTATCTTGAACACAAGTTCAGTGAGTGTGTATGGCAACATCAACTTTTAGTTCCACCCCACGGTCTCCTCATCAACTTTTTCCTGCTCTCTCTCTGAAGCAAACTGTACCGTTTTTAGTTTTGTTTAGTTATTTACGATTTGTTTATAACGTTAGGCAATAGAGACTAATTTCATGTTATATTTATTTTTTGATTATATATTCTATAACTTTGTATTTGAATCGTATATTAACTTCAAGAAGGTTGTATTATTTTCTAAAGAAGAAAGTTGTGAAGATAATAAGCATAGACTTTAAGAAAATCAATGTAATTTTTCTCAATTTTTTATTGTAATTTTGACCGTAACAGTGCTTTTATAGAGTAATGAGTTTTATCATACCATTTTAAATTCTTATGAAATAATATATTAATAAGAATTTAAAATCATAATATTTAATTATCCTTTTTACATTAAAGGTTAATATTTACACAAAAATTATTGTTATAGAAATCAAGAAGCTCAAAAAACATTCATTAATCGTTTCATTCACATCAAAAGTAGAATTTTTTACAGTAAAATTACAAAAAATAAAAATAAAAATACTCAAATAGACCTTATTACAATTTAATTATTGGAATAGAGTTAAATTTTTAGCTATCTAGAATTCAGTTTATAGGGAACCGAATTTTGAGTTAATTTTTTTTAATATTACAAAATAAATATTATTATTTAAATTATATTTATATATTTATATATTTTTATTTTGTTAAAATAAATATTTATAATATGTTATTCTAATAAATATTTATAAATATTTTGTTAGTTATATATAATAAAATAAGTTTTATTATTTGAATTATGTTTATATTTTTATATTATTTAAAAATAAATAAAAATAATATTAATTTTAAATGTTTATTAAAATTTATTTGACATATTTAAGATAATAAATAATATTTTTATTTTTTATTATATTATTTAATATAATTTTATTTTTTGAAAATGATATTAATATTATATTCTAAAATTATATTTTTGGTTATTTAATATTATATTTTAAAAAAATTAAAAATTACAATAATAATTTATTTAATTTGAAATTTGTATAAAATAAAATTATAATAATAACTTATTTAATATTATATATTTATAAAATAAATAAAATATTAAATAATAACCAGTCTATTTATATATTTTAAGATATTAATATTTATTAAAATTTATACATAATTATTTATTTAAAAAATATGTTATTAATATTAATAAATATAATTAAATAATATTATGTAGATATATTATATATAATTATATATTTAATATAAATTACAAATACTAAAAATTTAAAAGTTGCAATGATATTCATAAAATTAAAAATGACATTAACAAAATTTTTAAATAATAACAACAACATAAATCAATGGCAAAAACTAGAAACTTGAGCGATATTTGGATATGTCTTCCTTGTGTGACCAGGGGTATGACAATAAGAACAATTTTTTGTCCGACTTTATTATTTTTTAATGTTCATATATGTTTTTATCCTACTGGACTTGGGTCGACCTTTTTTAAGTTCCTTTTGGTTCTGAATTTGGACACAAAGTTGGGTCTGTGTAAGTTGGCCAATAGTCTTCGTGTTTAAGTTCTCCAAATTAACCTTCGTATATCTTAGAAACTTGTTGTAAGGTATACACATGAAATATGTAGATGTCAAAGTTATTGTGTGTGTAAGCATGAAGCAAGTACATGCAATCATGGGATGTGAACTTTTTGAAACTTGCCACAATCACACCACATTTCATCTAACCGTAT